GGTACCTTAATCAACAATGAATAAGTTTAGTGACGGCAAAGTACTTTCCAAGTGTAAAAGTAGCTTTAGGTAATTGTCTTTACGCCTTTGTTGCAGATCACCCACCAAAGTAAAGGTATTAAGGATCGATGACTTTTTTATTCAAATAATGCAAGAAATTTAAAAAAGTTTTTTATTACTATCATACTACAAAATACAAGTTTATCCATAAAATAACTATGGTCTCAATCAATGATGATAACCCTAAAATAGAATTTGTTTTATTTTACAATTATACTATTTATTGATGATTCTACCAAAACGTCTGTAATAACCAACTAAACCGAGAAAAGATTTTATGTCTTTAACAGCGGCGATTTGGGTTTGGTTTAATCCCGTGTTTGGTTACAATATGTCCAAAACTTCGGGTCTCAAAAATTTAGATTTGTCTAGTTGTACTTTGAATTTAGTTTCACTGTCGAAAATTTTCCGTAAGTGTTCTTGTAAGCTGCTACTACAAATTATTATATCGTCCGAGTAAACAAAACAAATTTAATTCTGCAATCCACGCAAGATATTATTCATTGCTTTCTGGAATGTTGCTGTGTTCTTTAGACCGAAGGGCATTCTGGAAAACTGTCCTAAATCAGTACTAAATGCTGTTTTATGAACGTCTTCTGCATCCATTTCAATTTGATAGTATCCATTTGCTAAGTCTAAAGTCGAAAAAATATTTGGCTTTTCCCAATTTATTTAGAATTTCGTTGATGGTAATGGAAATTTAACATCAGCAGTTTTTCATTCAACTTCCTATAATCGACACATAATCTAAATTTCGGTTTTCCAGATGCATCAAGTTTCTTTGGTACTATTAATATAGGAGCTGAAAATGGTGAATTTGACTCTCTAATCATATTTTGTTCCAATAATTTATTGAGTCTTAACTTCTTGTCGGTGTATTTCGAGGTATTCTTTTGGCATTTTTATACTTATTATTTCCCGCACTGATAAAATTGATTTACTTCGATTGGTTCAACTGGTAAAGGTTCTGAAAAATTAATTGGGGTTTGAACTTGAATGCTGTCGTATAAGCGAAATAATTTTCTTATTAAAGACTCGGGGATCTCGACGCTTCCTTCTTATCCATTTTTAAGATTTACTGGTACCTTGATCTGCGATATCATACGCAGCGGTATGACAAAAGTTCGTTTCAATGTTTTCAAGACAAGAGGTTTTAATTACGTTGTAAAATTCTTTGAAAAAAAAAATGGTCCGCGGTCGGATACATTAACTAAGTGTATTACCGAGTTTGTTTATCGTTATTTATTTTTCCAGTACTAATCGCGCCCGTAGACTAAACAATGGCATCATATGCTTTAAGCCTACACAAATCAGTCTTTTTCCATATCTCGACCAGTGGACATTATAATTATTATATTGCACA